TCATTTGTATATTTCAATTATTAGACACATATAGCTTTAAATATTTTAATAATTATGCCTTCTATTCACAATAAAAATAAAAAAAAAACAATTTATTAATGTACAATTTGCAAAAAGCAAACATGAAGGGATCACAATATTTCTTTCAGTGTGTGTGTGTGTGTTTTTTTTTTTTTTTCATATTGTTATTTATGAATTATGCCTTTAACAATTAAATAACTATATAATTTATTAGGAATGGCAAAAGAAAGAAGTTCTAAGTTATATAATAACAACATGACAATGTAATACAGATAGAACAGATCTTGTATATTATTGGAAGCAACCCACAAATAGAATAAGAACTTGTGCACTCAATACTCATTCAAGGATTCTTAGAATGTGATTACCTGTATAGTGCAGATTACTAAACCGAAACATGTTAATTAATCAATGGACTGATCCTCAGTTTAAAGCGATGCCTTTGTTGTTTGTTGCATTCTCCCCCAATTAATGTTCCTATTGTCCTCCAGCTCCTTACGTGGGCGTTTTCAGTCTATTTACTTCACAAAAACAAATACTTGTCTAACAAACTTCCCGTCGTAAGTACATCAAAACAATATACGATACGTTACTTTATTGCATTTATATCATAATAATATTTGAGTAGTATTATAGATTACAAGTTAATGAACACAACAAACAGAATAATTAATAGTGGCTAATGGCTGCCACTGCCAACGGCAGCCAAGAGCCTGCCGGCTGACTGCGGGCGAAGGTATATCGATAGCGTAGCACGCGAATAATTCAAGAAATTCGCAATCAATTTCGCAAAATCGATCGACTTCATGCGTCGATCGATTTTGCGTAATTGATTTCCGATGTTAATTTATGAATAACATAATAAAGTATCAGAATAGATTTGAATTGTACAAAAATAACATAGATAATAATTGTACGATATATTTTCTACCCAAAACTATAGGGTGTACTTCCGGTAGCCATACAATCACAAAATCTGGCAAAAAGCAAGTTCTTACAGTATAAATGAACAAAAATTTCCGAAAAATAAAATAGTTGCTGACTAAGGTTAATTTTGATACTTACAACTTTACGCGGAAATCTAAATTTGCCCATATATTTTTATCTTGTTGACTATAAACCACAGTATCTGTTTCTAAATTTCAACTTGCTTGGTCCGCTCGTTCTATTAGCTTCTATACTGTTCTGGTTAGCTTTTATACAGGCCTGTAATCTGTTTGGCCACGAATCTATGGATTTACGCACTGTTTCCAAGGGAAATTTCGCCACGGCATGCTCCAAAGATTTTTTTAAGAGACTCTTAAGAGTCCTCTAAAAGTGACCATAATTTGAAGTCTAAAGGGGTGAGGTCTGGGCTAGATGAGGGCCAGTCTTCAACTCTTATAAAGTCCGGAACGTTGGTTTCAAGCCAGGCTTGGGTAGTTCGTGCCTTGTGACCAGGTACAGAGTTCTGCTGGAAAGTCCACGGGATATTTTTAAAAAGTGTATTGCTGAGAGGTTTCACAACATGATCCAAGACTGTATCTTGATACACTTTGGCTGAAGTTTTCACTCCTTTGTCACAAAAATGTAGTTTTGTGACTCCTTGATAAGACACGCCCCACCAAACCATCACTGACGCAGGGTGATGACCACGTTGTACCTTTCCGGCAACTTGAGCAGCTTCTTTAGAACTGTGGGCGTACACTTTATCATTTTGCTTATTGTAGTGTTATTCAGTCGTGAAATTTTTTTCATCGGTAAAGTGGATATTTCTGTGCCTTTCACCTGTGTATCGCGACAGAAGGCGTTTTGATCGATCCACTCTCTTTAATCGTAAAGATTTATTTATGGCATGTCCTGTATATCGGCGATAACAGAGCACCGAGCTTTAGGTCTTGTTTTATAATACGCGACAGAGTCCTAGCGAGAATCTTCATTTCTCGCGATAAGATTTTATGTTTCCTAATGGGATTTCGACGAATTCTGGCTTTAACAGCATTAACAGTTTTTGTAGTTCTAACAACACGCGGCAAAAATCCGAATTAAGTTTTTAAAATAATATACGTGTTCCCAATTCAAAATAATTAAAAAGTTGAAAAAATGTAATTTAAGTAACAGTATTTATGGCCAGACTAGTTATATATATATATATACATATATATATATATATATATGAAATATGCATAATAGTTTTCGATCTTACCGACGTAATAATAAGAAAATATGAACTGACGTTTTTCACAAAAGAAAGAACTTTAAAAAAAAGGGAAAAACATAACAAAATAACAAATCGACAAAAAATTAAAAATAAAGAAAGCAATGATCTGGAATCGAAAAAAAGTAAAAAAATAAATGTGTAAATGATCGTGACGCGAACCACGGCAGTCTGTTTTGGGGCCGCCCAGATTACCGACCGAGCTATTATGACATTTTCTCTTGCGGCGAAATTTACCGTCATATTCGAATTATATTTTTCATTCCCTGAAAACAGGGATAAAAGGTCATTTTCTAAAAATGAAACCTAGCTAGATCCTTCCTCCTTGCCCCCGAATCTACGCACATACTAAATTTCATGAAAATCGCTGGAGCCGTTTCCGAGATTCCGATTATATATATATATATATATATACAAGAATTGCTCGTTTAAAGGATAAGATATATATATATCTATATATATAGTTAAGCAACACCTATATACAGCGTTGATTCGCGTTGTTATTCTGACACAAATCCCTTGAATTATTCCCTCATGTACTATCATCTTAATTTTAATCCCTATAAGCATCACTAGGGGCTCAAGTTAAGTTAAATTTATATAGATACCGCCAAAAATAGCGTTTACCTCTTTTTATGCTCGCCAGTATCATCAATCACTTCGTATTCAGACGGGATTACACTAAGCGTTGAATTTAATTTATACGTCGGTGTAATTTTTTTATCATTAAAGGTATATATCACAAAATACAAGTGAAGTGTTCCGTGCCACCTATATTTACATTTTGAATTAATGAGATCTAATTGGGGAGTGATAAAAATACATACATTACTGAAATAAAGTGGAAACGCTTGGAAAAAAACATTTGAAATTGATGGTGGTGATGGAATATATTAAAATTAGTGGTGATAAGTTTGTCTTTGATATAAATCTTGATTTATTACACGTAGATTATTTTTATGTTGAGAATTAATGTGGCAGTCCTAGATAATACAAATCAATTGATAAATGTGAATTTATGAGATCTAAACACCCTTATCACTGTCTAAACGGGTAGCAGATGTGAATGCTTATATATTCCATGAGTGTTCGATTACTTGCTTACAAAGGGAGCTATTTCATGTGATACGCCTGTAACGTGAGGCTTTTCACACGTCACGGAAGAAGGTGTCTTTGTCTATAATCACAATAACATCTTAATCTATCAAGAATACGAGTAGCATTGCACGTATTTAAAAATGGAATATGCTTAAACTTAGTTACAGTAATAGAGGTAAATAGGGGAAAATTTGTAATAAATCAATTTCAAAAAAATCTCAGATTTATACTGTTTTAATTTTTAATCAAAACGTTTGAGGCGTCGTTACGAGAGCATCGTTATAGAATTAATGGTGCATAATTATGAAACGAAGAGAATAACTAATATCTCATTTAAATTAATGAACAAGATTTCTATCTTACAATCAAAATTTAGTTAAAAATATTTTACAAATACCACCGATATCACATACTATGATCAGAATTGTAAAGAAAACAGCCAGTAGGTTGTTTTCTCACTATTTAAAAGATTTTATTGTGATTAAGATTACGTGGAATATTCATTATAAATTGGCATTTTGTATAAATTATTTATCCGTTTAAACAAAAAATAAAAAATGCGTTCCAGACAAATTCGCTTCGATATCACTTATCTGCTATTTTTTACTACGCTTTAAAAAATGAATAAAAAAATCATACCAAAAACGAAAAAGGCAGTTGAAAACTGAGATATACATGTTTCTCTGTTGCACAGACAAATTTATGTTCACCATTATAAGCGCACAAAGCTCGAGTATAATATTTTACATCTTTCCTTTTTTCTTTTTGCGTGAAATTTTGGGGCGAGGTCATACATCGAAGACAATGTAGCGTGAATGTAATGTAACGTAGAACTTTAAGGCGTATTTTCGCTTGACCTATCGTCCTAGTTTATTGTTGGTAGACAAATACATCAATCCATGTAATAATTTCTTGCAACTTCACCACATTGTTACATGACACTATTTCATTAACTACCGTTTCAAAATCAAAGTTTCTAATCCTTGAACCTGACAAAGCCAAGTGTTCTGAAATAATCATTTAAATAATTGTATTTAACAATGTTTAATCCACATGTAGAAACAGCTCACCACATCTACATGTATCTATTTTTCTCTAATAAGGAATGGAAAACTTCATCGTAAGCAATACGCTAAATGTAATCACAGTATAAGTACTGTGATTATATTAAGCGTATATTAATATAAGCCTATATTAATATATAGCACATGATAATTAATCTATGAAATAAAATGACTCGCTGAATCAGTACGTTCATCATCTACGCATCACCCTACATCACCACTTCTATCAAAAAAGTAAATAAATAGAATGTAATTTATTAAACTAAAAAATCCGACTGCGTTTCTGTGTAATTTTTATTTTGATAAGCACAATGTCACTCGCACATTAAATACGAATCAAACGACACCTCTCAAGCTAAAATCCATCAAGCCGTTCAGGCTGCAGACCGTTTAATAGTTATACGTGTTTAACAATTATACATACTCTCTAAAAACATAATAACCCTCCTTCTGACGCAGTCGGATAAAAAAAAAGACAAATCTAATTAGGGTTTTTAAAAGACAGCATATGTACTAAGCATAGCATTGTAAGCAAACAAACTGCAGTGCCATTTTAGAATAATATCTACTTTATTGCCATTATTTCATTGATAGCATTATTAAAAATATTTTTGTTTCAGGTGCAACGCCGTTTTGGCGTTTAACCATAAAGCTGCCTAACTTTGTCACGGCTGGTAAGATTACGTGTTTTATACTATTAAAATTATGCTGATGTTAAATATTTTCATTTTCATATAAATGTTAACTTTACCAAGTGTATTATTAGTTCGTTTCTTGGGACATTAAGTTTTTTTATTATTATTTTAACAAAATATAATGTTTAAGACACTATTTTCTAAAACTACATTACAAAATTTGATCAAACGGAGATCTTATATAATATATTAAAAAAAGCTACCCCATTTTTTTCGGTAACTATTTCTTAAGAAAATTGAATTCCTTTTAAATTCGAGGCTATAAATAAAGATTTTAAGGCTGATTTGATATTTTGTTTTAGTATAATAATAAATATGTCGTATATTTTTTATGTTATTTAAATGATCTAACTCGAAACACGGTTATTATACCTATTGCCAGATCGTACGACCAATAAGTACCAATACGACAATTTACCACAATTTCCAAATATGTTTATATGATGTAAATGGTGATCAACTTAATTCTCTCTTAGTTTTGCGCATTCACTGGAATTTTTGTTGTAAAAGCGTATGAACGAATTACTTACTCTATGGAGTCTAGTAACTGGCGTTACAAGCTTGTGTTTGTTCCTAGTGTTTACATTATGATGTTCATAATGTAAATACTAGGAACGCAGTATTCTTATTAAAATTATTATTATTTCTACGTACATACATAACATTTTCATATACATATTGAGAGGCTAAAGTTTATTTATTTCTTTAAACTTCTCTCTCAAAGATGCATTCAAATAACGTATAAGATCTAATGTGCAGTAAAAAACTAAAATACATACAAATAAAATAATATGGTATAAATAAAGAGGGTAGTGGTCCGAGTAAATTTGCAAAGTTGCATAAACGTAGGTTTTAACAAATTAAAATTATAACAGATTTAATATTTTGGGAGCCTGTATTGTAAATTTTCGGCCCTTATACAAATACGTAGGTCCCATCGACATATGCTTACTTATTTTAATATAAGCTACCATAGATGAAAGAATTTTAACATATTTATATAATATTCTTCAAAACAATTTTTACCAAGACATAAAAGACCGTAAAAAATATTTTAAGATATATCGCACCTTTAGAATTATAGTGACTTATTTAAAAATATCGATTTTTGGGAAACGTAAATTAAGGATTTGTGGAACTTATGAACAAACGAGCTAATTGGGGGGAAGTGGTTGCTTTCTAAAATCGGTCCATGTTTTAATAGGATTCGGAAAAGATGGTCGCTTTAGATCGTTTCCTGATATAAAGCCAAAATCATGATTTTCATAATTAGGTCCCTTTAATTCTAAAGGTGCGATATATTTCAACGTGTGTTTGTGTCACAGTGCCTTAGTTTGCGTTTTATCGTCCAGTAATACGAGCATACGAGGCTTAAATAACGAGTGTGCCTGGCTTTGATAAGGCGGTTGCGATTGCCGGATGCGAACTCAAATGATAGTCGCATTTGTTGCGGCCAGACATGATATAAATTTATCACGCGGGAGTTGAAGACAACAGAGTTGCTAGCAGAATTCTGATCTACAATAGTTCTTTTTTATTGGTGTGTTTTTTGTTTTTGAAATCTCTGAAACTTAAGATAATTAAACCTAAGGAGTATTATATATTGACAGATCACGGATAAACTGTTCTCGGCATTCGGAATTTGGGAAATATATGTTGAGGACTAGGTTTACAACTGATAGATAATAATCAATTTACAATTAATATATATTTTTGCTATGTGGTGCTGGCGTATGAATGAACCATCTCATCTCATCCCGTGGATGCCGTAAGAGACGACTAATGTATAAACGACAATGGAATATGGAATATACGCAACTTCAATACAGTTCGTATTGTGGGTTTGCAAATTATTGGCCCTTATACGAGTACATAGGACCCATCGATATACTTACATACTTACTTGGCTGGCTCAGCGACCCAAAGAGGTTCTTGGCCTCCGACACGAAAAGACGCCACTGCTCTGTATTCTGGGCTGTTTCTTGCCAATTGGCTGATTGGAGAGCTCTCAGATCTTTATGGACTTCGTCTTTCCAGCGATATCTGGGGCGACCAAAAGGACGCCCCCCTTTTGGTTGCCCCATATACACTCTCTTGACTGCACGATCCTCCCCCAGATCTCCAAATGGCCGAGCCAACGCAGTCCGGCTTTCGTTTCGCCGGTAATGTTGGGTTCGGACACAAGATGTTCAATTTCCCTATTTTTCCGAATTCTCCAATTCCCATCCTCGTCTTTCACCGGTTCTAAGAGCTGATGCTCTTCCTTTAACGTCAGTGTCTAAGCTTCACAGCCATACATTAAGATAGGTCAGATCACCGTCTTATAGACACGTATCTTAGCTTTCATGCTAATGAGCTTGAACACTAGGAGTTTGTGCAGGGCTGCTGTGCATCTTAGGGTGTTTTGTGTGTGGATATTTATTTCGTCCTCTCTCTGGTTGGTTGCTGTAACGGTAGTACCTAGGTATTTAAACTGGTTAGCGCCTTTATAGATGGCCTGACCAACAGCAAGATTATCCCGCTTTCCTCTGATATTGTTGTTACTCTGTTTTGTCGAGGTTAATTCTGAGACCGATATTTTCTCCCTCCAACTTAAGGATGTCCGCCATGCTTCCAAGGTCTCGTTTGGACTTTCCTAGTAGTACCAGGTCATCAGCATAGCCTACCACCTTATGTTTGCCATTTAATTCAACTCCCCCATCGTACTCCAGTACTTTGCGGATGGTGTATCGCCGTTGCTGTTTAATTTAGTTATCTACTAAATTAAACAGCAACGGCGACAAAGCGTCACCTTGTTTGAGACCTGTCACTACCTCAAATTCATCAGTGAGTTCTCTTTCTATCCGGACTCTCATCCTGCTGACTTTTGTGGCTACCACATCACCATATTGACCAGTTTTTTAGGTATATTAAAGTGCCTTAGGATTCTATACAAGGCCTCTTTGTCCACGCTGTCATACGCTTTCATGAAGTCAACCCATAGACATATGCTTACTTAATTAATATAAGCTACTATAAATGACTATTGACATATTTATAATATAAGCCACTATAAATGACTACTGACATATTTATAAGCGAGACCTAGGCTCCAAAGTCCTTTCCAGAGATCACTCTATAGGACAAAGCCAGTTGACTAAGTTGAAGGCAGACAGTGGGACTATCATCTCCAGTAGTGGTTCCATGGACAACTGTACACATTGTAGTTGGAGCCAAACACGTATAAGTAACGACCCGAGAGCGAAGCTTGTCCGACACTATTGCGGGAATATCCCGGGGATCATCATCGCCTAAACGAGATGATAATGACTCTTTTGAGCATCTGAAGAATGGTAACCTGAAGAGGATGGTATTACAGCCGAGCTTCTGAATGCAACGAAAATGGTGACGTTGATACATTTTAGAACAAAACTATAAAGAAATAAATTGTTTTACAAGAAATCTTAACATTCATCTCATTTCGTTCATGTTTTTTAAGTAACGTTACCACAAGGGTTAAGTATTCCAAAAAAGAAAGAAACTCGACCATAATACAGGTACTAACTAGATTATCTAATAATGTCGGTGTTATATTTCCATATCCAGAAATAGAAGTAAAAACAGACTTCAAAAAATAAGAACTCGTCCAAAGTGCATAATATGTTATGGTATGCTAGTAAAATTTCGATCATTTCGAGTATTTCTAAACTTTAATTTAAACGTTCTTCACTTGATTAATTGTTTACTTTATATACAAGAAGAGAATTGGAATTACTTCCATATTATGATGATACAAGTTCTGTATGATTTGCTTTTTATTAAGTGTTAGTCTACATTCAAGATGAATATTAATATAGAAATATAGGCATACAGATATTAAAATAAGACATTTTATAGATACTAGCTGTGATTTCATTTCGAGTAAGTAGTGCCGTGCTGTTAAATACCCTATTACCTTCCTAAAGTATGGCTATCAAATGCAAAATTTTTTTTCAAATCCAATCGGTAGTTCAAAAAACTAGTGCATTCAAACAAACAAACAAACGGAACTCTTCAGTATTGACGGATTACAGATTACTAAACGAAACTATTACTATACATTTAATTAACGCGATAAATCCGATAACATAGTTCCATCTAAAAGTTCCATTTAATAACTACATATTTAGTTTATAGAAATTTTATTGCTTCCAGGAAAAGAAGAAATGTTTCAAAAATTTATTACATTTTTATGTAAAATACTCCACATTTTTCATACAAATAACTCAAAAGTTCATTAGCATTGCGAAATGTCGGTATTTTTATATTTTAAACATGTTTATAAGGAAAGCCTCTGTTAATTGAGAGGTTTGGTTTATAGTTCCGAGGCGTATATTGATGTTTGATGTGCTGTTTTAATAAAGATGACATATGTCCGACTTCGCGTCGTTTCAAAATTGCTTCGTTTTACATTATATATAAGTGAGTGACAGATGATATAGAACGTATACACGGAAAGAGATAGCAGTCTATGGAGTTGCGGTTTAAAACCAATTGGCATAATTTTAGTGCCTCAGTTTCGGTGCGCTAGTGTGATATCTAACTCGTATTTGTATAAATCCAAATAAAATGGCGAAAAGCTCTTGCAATTTACGGTTCCGACGCAATCTGTCGGTGTTATAACTGTCATTAACGAAAAGTAAGCAACGAGTACGTATTAAAACAGATTACGCTTCAGTTTTATTAGTGTAATATTTATAAAATTTTAATTTACAATGATATAAAGTCTTTACTTTTACATTCAAAGTATTTGGCTCTGATGTACCACATATATCAAAGTATAACAACAGTAAACGCGAAGCAATTTGGTTATCAGAAAGCTAGTACACGCCAATTTGATTGACCAACTGGCAACAATTTTGCTAAAGTAAAAGAAAAAAAACATTGATGGAAAAAGCATTTATCGGGAAAGGTAAAACAAAAATAGCGAAACCCACGCGCCGGCCACCAACCCTATGCCCGGAGGCAGCTTTATTATTTATTCCTCTCTTCATTTAACTCCTCCATTTAGGAAAAATCATATTGAAATCTATTTAAACTTGTGAATATTACTTTCTGGCATCGCAACTATAGCAACGAAGAATTCGCAAAGAACAACTGCACGTATCGTTTGACATTTTACGCTGCTTTACGTAAATATCCATGACAGATGCCGACCTTCATTACATATTCTAATATAGACCCTCGAGGCTTGCCCCACTTTACGTTGGCAATATACATCATTCCTGCACAACTCCAAAGGCTTCATGGCTGTAGACAAGCTTATATGTGTATTTTTAAAACACGCTCTAAATTAATACATTATACTTAAAGTTTTAAAATCACAACAGAGTTTTGTTTAGTTTGAATTATTTTCTTCTTAATTTATTTTACTAATAAAGAAAAAAAGTAAATCACAGCTGTCGTTGTTAGCTGTATTTGTAAGTATATTAAAACAAGTATGAATAATTTCAAAACTAATGTGGCCTGTAATTATGGTGGGAATCGTCGAAATAGGTTGCTTATGGCTCGATAACCATAGATGTAGTAAAAATTCTTTTTTCCGGTTTTCTAACAACCTAGGCAGAATTCTATATAATCTTAGAAAAAGAAATGAGCAATCGCAGAGTTAAAACACGAATGAAAGTTAATGACATTTGTCGTCGTTTTTGAACTGTAAATTACCGTGTATTATTTAAATAAAAGACAAGTTGTTTCACAAACCATAACCATTCTTCATTAAATTTGTAGTGGTTCGAGAATGCTGCGTGGCCTTATAAAAAATGGAAATAATTTCAACCTCGAATTTGATGCGCAATTTCATTTTTTACTTTTTGCCGTTTTTACAGTTTCAACTCTCTTTTATATGTGAGTATTAAATTGGCATAATATATTCCTTTTCGATTTCCGTGGTCTGTGAGTATAAGAGATACAAACGTCGCGATTGATGGAACATTATTTTAAAATAGTTCACATTTAAATCTTATTTAAATTTGAAGTGAAGCCAGTGATGACATACGGAAATGAGACCTTTCACTGCTGGCCGTATGAGGAAGCTCAAAGTAGCTGAGCGCTATGCTCGGTATTTCTCTGCCTGATAGAGTTCACAAAGAAGACATCCGCAGTAGAAAATACCGACATAAGTCAGATTAGTAAGCTGAAGTAGCGATGGGCCGGACATATAGCTCGTAGAAACGATAACCTTACATAATGCGGCTTCGTTTGAATTTTTGCTATATTATCATCGCAATAAAAACTAATAAATTATAAATTTATTTACCTCGTGAGTTCAAGCTACTTCCTGGTCACTTTTCATGAATAACCAATGATGTCTAATAATATCACTGTGCATAACAGTTAAAATTTCTTTAATGTAACAAACAAAGTTGAGCAGTCGACAAAAGTCTATTTTGTATATGAAGTTCTTTGAAGATGGAAATATTATTCCGAAACGCTGTCCTCGAAATTTTCAACAGCCGTCTCCAACACCACATCTCCAAGGCGACCATGTTTCAGCTCCATACAGAAAGATCGGAAATACCAGACATCTCATTAGTCGAAACTTTCTATTCTTGGTTATACGTCTGTTTTTCCAAATATTTCCTAATCGCTGTACTGCTGACCGTGTGATACCGCATCGACGCTTGATCTCTTCTTCAGAGTCCCCAAAGATATGTGCATTTATTACAAATAAAAAAAATTGAAAATATCTACAGATTTTTTTAAATAAAGTAAACATATTAAATAACACAATAAATACACTCATACCAATTTATTTAAATAAATACATACATATAAACTATACATACTTTTACTTACTTTATTTAAACGATCCAGACAAACTGCTGACAGTGCTATAAGCAAGTGCCCTCGCGAGTTGTTCTTTCAAATGCAGAGCGACCTTTGGCCATACTTTAACGAACTCGGGGGCCTGCTTTTTGCTATTATTGTAATCTAAAAGGCTTTCTATGTGTAGTAAGGATGGTGAATCGGTGCGAGAGGCGGGCGGTTGCGTGCGTACTGCTCGCAGTGACCGCCGTCGTAGCCGCCGCCTCCTACGATCGGGAGCGACTTGAGATTGCTAAGCAAATACTGGAGGAAGTGCCACTTACCGACGGGTATGCATTAATTATGCAGCATTACCTAAAGAGATTCGATAGATGTGTGTGTTAGACGTCTTGGAATTTGTCTTTTATGAGTTTTTTGTTTGTCTCATTAAAGCCATAACGACCTGCCCTGGAACATTCGCAAGTTTCTACGCAATCAGATCAACGAATTCGAACTCGACACCGACCTGACTATTGTTGAGCCTTGGTCCATTTCCAAATACTCCCATACTGACCTGCCCCGCTTGAGGAACGGAATGGTTGGAGCCCAAGTGAGTCAAACCTTTCGAATATATTTTATCTACGATGCCTTAATTGCCTTCTTATTTATTTTTGTTTATAACTTTACCGTTGTATTTTTTAAATATGATTATTCATACATGTGTGTCTTTTGCTCATATTAATTGTATTCACTACGGTCAGATTAATCATCACAAGTATTTCCAAATACTCGTGATAAATCGCAATTAAATAAGAAAACCCGTAGAAATCATTCAATACATATTATGTCAATACCTTTTTGGTGAAAAAATAAAAATGATATATCAATCAAACACGGCTGCCACCTAAAAACGAAATAATTTCATAAAACATCTCTTCGCGTATACCTGGTGTCTCCATTCGGGTCGCCGTTGCCAAAAGATTGGACTTTTGTCCTGGCCTCCCTAACAATGAAACAGTGGGATGGGATTTTACGACGAGTTTTTGTACTCTGCTGTACATGGAAATACTAGCGGTAGGCATTATTTAGCTTAGAATTCATTGTTTTGTGATAAGTTCGCAACTGTATTATTATAAGAGTATTTATTTCATAATTTGCTCGAGTTTGTTTCAGTCCATCCTAATTTCACAAAAAATGCGATAATAGTGATTTTTTTAAAAAAAATCTTCCTTGCAATCACTTAGCCTTTACACCTTATATTCTATAAGATAGGACTAGAATCTTAAGAGCATTGTGTATTTTATTATTTTCAATGCAGTTAGTGCAGACTTTACAGAAATTACATAACTCAATAAAACATTGTTATTTCTAATAATGCTTTCCGAAATATTTCAGCCGAAACCTTGACTTTTAAGGACATTATACTTGTTCCTATGTTATCATGATGACCATCCGAATGGCGTGGTGGGTAGTGTACCTGCCTTCTGCGAGGGTGTAGGTTCGATCCCCACTAGTAGAAAAATATTGTGTGATGAACATAGTGTTTTTCTAGTGTCTGAGTGTTTATATATATTTATAATATGTATTTAATTACAAAAGAGAAATATGTTTAAGTATATCTATCACTGATTTTGTAACCATAGTACAAGCGTTGCTTAGTATGGGACTAGAGAACTTTGTTTAAAAATGTGTCCTAAAAATATGTATTTATGATTATTATTATTATCTTACAATTATGAATTATTCTGCTGGAAATACGTGTAGGAAATAAGGTAGCTATTTGGAAATAATAAAAAAAATATCATCCGCTGATAATCGTAAACATTAAAAAATAATAAACTTATAATAAAATGTCCGGCTCCAGTTTTGGTCCGCATTCGTCCCGTGCTCCTCTCAAAACAAAGACGCTGTTCAACTGACGCTCGAACAGATTGACGTTATCAAGCGTCTGGTGGAGAAGTACCCGCGTCAACTACAATTGGCGAAATCGGTGACAGGTATGGAGGCTCAGTTATATTAAATTTACAATTTCAAATTCTTCATTCTCCGATACATGATGGTCATTATCGTTTCACCCAGATATACTGCAAGCTCATAGCGCGAGACCCCGTAAGATTGCTTCGCTCATTGGCATCGAAGGAGGCCACTCGATTGCCAACTCACTAGGCGTTCTGCGCAGCTACCATCAACTTGGTGTTCGATACATGACACTCACGCACACATGCAACACCCCCTGGTAAGTGTGACCGTTCTGTCGATGCTATAGCTAAACTGACGCGCGCGAAAAATAAATCGCACAATACGTAGAAAATAATGATTCGAGTATCTACAGTAATACAGCGTGTCGTTACAACCGCGACAATAAATGAACACACATATAAAGGGTAACTTTTTAAAATTGTATTAAATATTTACATTATTTAAATATCAATATTTACCGAGTTATTAAATTTCCCAAAACAACTTTATAACACCCTTACGTATAGAACTGTAGCGTAAAGTTCATTTGTAAAGGTCACAAAGCATATGAATGGGTTGAATGAATTTAAAAGAGATAAAACATACTGTTAGAAGGAGAGGCTTGTAATGCGACTTTGTGGCAACGAATGAAAACGTCTCTGAACGTATGAATCAGTCAGTTGTAGTTGTATAGGATGATACAAATTTTGTTACCTTTTTTTTAATCAGTTTGTTTTAAAAATATATTTTTTTAATTATGGAATTTATTAACGTTTTCTTTTTTTTTTTAACGATTATTGGCAAGTAGCGTTAGACTGTGTTCGCGATTGTAACGACACGCTGTATATAATGAGACATACTGATTAATAATTGCGATGATTTCTCTATCACTTTTCATTGTAGTACCCTTACCACCAATATACAACCAATAAACATTTGTAGGGCATTTACGTGCTCGTCATATGCGGGACTCTAAATTAATCCGTTCACATAACTTTTTCATCGCCCCAGTCGAGGACGGGAATATAAATATTGCGAAACCACCAGTAGTGCCGGTCCACAAAAATGTACTGCCAATTAATGCTAGCAAACATGACCGCGTAATTAGAGCACGGTGAAACCGACATATGCGTACACAAGGTACAACCGCTGTTCCGGATTGAGTCTCAACGTCTAGCCTATGATTAGTACGGCCAACCGACAACGTATCGAATGCCAATGGCCAGTATGACCATTTCTCCCTCGGTAGATACAGCACACATGAGCAAATGCACGGCCATTCTCAACGTCGCATCAAACTTCTGTTTTTAATTAAATTTATTAGTCTCCATAGAATGTAGATTTATCTGATGAAAAAGATAAACCAACTATGTGTCGCGCTATTGGGCTCTCGGTTATATCTATATTATATTTTCATAGCAATTAAATTATTATCTTATTTCATAATTATGTCAATCAAAAGTCCCTTTCGTTAAATCAGTTATTATATAGATGAATTATCCTCAGCAGTCATTGGTAATAACTTGCTACTAATTACTAAGTACTTCCTAATTCAATTCACTAAGACTTACCATCTCTTAAGGGAAGCACAACATAGGTACCTATTTTGTAATTATCTCTAATCTAAAAATCTGTTTTATGTGTTCGCACTTTTAAAATGTCTACGCCAGATACTCCTGTAGATCTTTGCGAAATTAAAGTCTCGCTATCTTTATACCATCATCTTTTTATTTGAAATTTCCCCTTAGGCCATAAAAGGTTTTACCCCGAATAGACTTTTTTACAAATTTTATTTCACAGTAAGAATAATTATGAGAAATGAAAAAAAAGTAATTGAAAATATACATTGAAACTGAAATAGAATGTTTTCAATGAATAGAAACCATTATTAAATTTCTCTGTGACCTTGTAACTTTATTTAGGCTTTTTTTTATGATAATTTATTTTGACCGTAATTTATTTTCAACTAGCATGTTAAAGTGTGATATAGGCATTTTTTTATTCAAATAATTTTTTATAAACCACAATTAGAACGTAGATATATGTTGATATTTTCGCATCGTGAGACCGCTGAACTTAATTGGTGGCACGTCATTCAGATAACACAGGTTCGAAATTTTTCGATTATTATCTAAAAAATCACAATCGACAATAGCTATTAGGGTACATTAAGAAATTGTGTTTAGAATCCCCAAGAGATTAGATCGCTCTGGATCTGTTTGCATTATGTTCTAAGAGCGCCCCCATATTTATTTGTTGTATAATAAATATATAATATACCGTATTAAACAACAAATAAATTTGTGGGTGTTTCGACTTTCAGATAGGAAATGGCATTTACATAAAAGTATTCAAACTAAAAAGTCTTCTGAAACGTGCAAAAATCGGTTAGTTTAGACCAATATGAATATTCACAATGTTTGGCAAATGTCAATGTCAATATGTCATATTACTTTTTAAACTCACACGGCTAGAGTTTTACATTTCAATATTTATATTCCCTCAATTGTAGTACTTACAATGTCACAATATACAATTAATACGTATATCCATTCGAAGAAGCAGCGAACAATATATTGACTAGTAAGCATTGTTACGAAACATGCATTGACTGTGAATAAATTATAAAACAGATGAATTCATAACATCGAGTTCTGTATACTACTAGTTTGTTCCGAATCGTGTGCTGAGCGAACATTATTAAGCGTGTGCAATACGGTCGTTCACAATACTTTTTGCATCATTTATTTGTATTGTTGCTTCATAGGGCTGATTCGTCAAACGAAGCACCAGTCGTCAATGGACTCACCGAGTTTGGAGAGGTAAGCGAGCTTCGCCATTAAATTGAGATCTTAGACGCAAAGGCGAATTGACCTAAATGCGGTGAGTCAGCTATCACTACGTTTCCTTCCGTACCCAAAGGGTAAAACGGGACCCGATTCATAAGACTTCACTATCCGTCTGTCCGTCTGTCAACAGGCTTTATCTCATGAACCATGACAGTTACACAGATAATGTATTTCTGTTGCTGCCAGCAACAAGTACAAAGAAATTATAATACAAAGAATACAAAGAATTTTCTGTTATCATAGATAATGGTACGGAACCCTTCGTGCGCGACTCCGACTCGCACTTGGCCAATTTTCTCTTATTTGCAATGGATTTTATATTTGACTATTATTATTATAGATCCAATATATTAATTTATGCAATAAGCGTTTGATTGCTGGCGATGCAGTGTTTCTTTGAGCGATTGTTTTTTGTATTTATGTATTTGAATAATGTAATAAGTCTTGGCTAGCGTGTATTCGTATTGGTAATTTTTTTTTAATTAAGAAAACTAATGTAAGTAGGAATACATTTTCAATATAGCTAAATTATTTATAAACGCACAGAACTCCAAAATGATTGACCGACAAATGATGACCGTCCCGTTATTTTGGCGGATAACCACTGTTTAATTTGATTGATTTTCCTTCTTTCATATTGTTGGGGAGCTCCAAACCAAATTTAAACTTTATAAATAAAAGTATGTTTGCCGTGCTTCGATCATCATATTGAAGGCAATTTTTGAAATTTTTACAATCAGAAACAATATACATTGCAAACGTACCATTTATAATAGTGCAAGAGGCGAAAAAAAAAATATTGTATGTAGGAATAGGGTAGGTACTATTGTGTAGTTTTCGTGAAGATAAAAAAAAATCAAATATTGTTTTGTGCCTATCTGGTTATTTGGATGAGTTATTGCAACATTGTTCCTAGTGTTGTGATTGGACTGTTTGCAGAATCATCACCAAATCACCCGGCTTTCGTTTACTTTTATTGTACATATACACTTCTATATGTGTTTTCTCTTGTCCGCAGAAAGTCGTAAAAGAGATGAATAGACTTGGCATGCTAGTCGATCTATCGCATGTTGGAGAGAATACAACACGGGCTGCTATTCGTGTTTCAAAGGCACCGGTTATCTTTAGCCATTCCTCTGTCTACAGCCTTTGTGCTCACAAACGCAACGTACCTGACGATATCATACAATCTCTGGTAAGTGCGAATTATGTCTTTTGATCAAAATATTTCGTAACAATTCTTTATTGAAGTGTATTTTTAATATTTCTATTTGTATTGTGCAACCAATATGACGTGTTTCTTATCAAATCGTCAAAAATTTTAATTCGTTGAGAGTTGCGGTCACTATCAAAATTTTTCTCAACACGATTTTAGCGAGAATGTAGAGAGAAAAAGATAATTATCTCATAATGTATATCTTACTCTCCAAAGCAAACGAATAAGGCCTTAAAAGAATCGTTGCTTTGTGTGCAGATTCAAATCGTAAAGATCGATGAAAGGTATCCATCGATTAAGAGACCTTTCTGCTAAATTCAAGAAACCCTTTTTCTATAGTACCTTTTGCAGAAACGTGTTATTCACGTAAATTTATTCAATTGGTGCAAAACTACATTAATGCTTCATACCTTACGTTACTTTATTTAAAATCATTACGTGAAACAAAAATGAAATTAAAACATGGTACTGTGAGCAATTCACCTGGAATATTTTAATAGCTTAACATTTTCCGTGATAATAAATCTAATATTTGTTTCCGTTTTCAGAAAGCAAATGGCGGAATCATAATGGTTAATTTCTTTCCTGACTTCGTGAAGTGCGCTCCGAACGCTACACTGTCCGATGTGGCTGGTAAAGATTTTATTTCGTTTTGATTTACTGTCTCAAACATTTTTTTTAGTAAAATATTAATATGACCTGAATCAATAAATTACAATGAAACAGTGTTAACTGATGGCAATTTTATCTCATAAGGTCTGTTTTCTTGAATAATTTAGTGTAATAAAACAAATTAAATTCAATCATTTACTTTTTATTTATAAATTCCTTGGTATTTTCAATTAATTAAGTAAGAAAAAAATAATATATAGATACAAAAACTGTATATATAGATATGATTAAATCATATCTACATATACAGTTTTTATATATATAAATTAATTTATTCATTGCCTTGTATTCCACAGAGCATTTCCACTACATTAAGAAATTGGTCGGAGCTGACTTTGTTGGTATTGGTGGAGACTTTGATGGCGTCAATCGGTTCGTTGCTTTTATAGAGAAAAGAAAAAGTTTATCCCTTTGTGCTCACGCTTCAGGTTATATTTACTTACAGTGTTCCACGAGGATTGGAGGATGTGTCCAAATACCCGGAGCTGTTTGCTGAACTACTCCGCAGTGGCCAATGGAGTGTACAGGAGCTGAAGAATCTTGCGGGTCTTAACATGCTGCGGGTTATGAGACAGGTGGAGAAGGTGAGCGTGATATTACATTTAAATAAAATAATATTTTTTTTATTTTGTGGAAAACCAACAGCTAATATAACATAAATAAGAAAACAAGATAATAACGAGCCAGTCAATTACAAGTATTCACCGATAGAAACTAAATAAATTGAAGTTTTGTCATTCAAGGCTTTTAACGCCATAATTCGGAACATAACACATGGATATTTATAAAAATGTAGCAAAAAACATTATTAGCACGATTCAAAGAAATCTTGACTTAATATTCGCCTTGCCGATTCACAGCTAGTGTAAAACAAATCTAAATCATGTTTTTTTGCATAAATTAAAGTAATTACATGTTCGCCATATATAACTATTTTTCCCATTATTGGTTACTACAGTCGGTAAATAAAGTTATTAAATTAAAAGTTGTTAAATATAGTTATTGCTTCTGAGATGCACAGTAGGAGCTCTCAGTGCCAATTGATTATTGATGATTTTACATGAATCTTTTTTGATGATGATGATTCATGAAGCCTTTTCACCGCGACTGTACTTAAAATAATTATATAACAATAATACCTTTTTCCCCTAATAGGTGCGAGATGAAATGCGCACCAATGGTGTCGAACCGGAAGAACACCCTGACTCACCTAATGACAACGGAAATTGCACCAGCAATGCTTTCTACAACGAACATGTCTAAAGTTTATTAGTGAATTCCTTTTACATATCTACCAAGTTCGCTTCCTATTTCTCCTTTTGTTTTCTGTTAGGTTCTGTTTCATCCCACAATTTTATTGTAAAAGATCCAACTTATTTTCTTCCAAGTTAATTAATTACATTTTTTTTACCCAATACATTATCCATAGTATTTTGTTCATTACTTTTATTCTTTTTAACCATCAGTTATTGCTTCAATAAGTAACGGCAGATATGTAAAGAGAATGAATTTCACAGCCCGATATAACGATATACCTACATGACGCAGCATTATTGAAATAGAAAATAATTCAGTGTTAGTTACTTGTTCGAACTAAATATACGGAGGATATGGCGAGTTAGCTAATTAATTTAAGTAGCTGTTCCACTTCGAGCTGATGCAAGAGTCTTAGATTAATGACAATTTAATGACAACTACTGGAAAGTTTATTAACCGCCAACGGACGATGGTTATAAGTACTAAATTACAGATCTTTCAGCGATAAATGCTAAATCTGTTTAAACGTCATTTATTCACATTACCGCTAGATTTGAAAATATGTGTAATCAGTGTTGTAGATGCATTATAGATGTTCACTGTGGACTAAGTACTTCGTAATTCCATTCACTAAAACTATCGCAACCCTTAGTTACGCACAGAACATGCCTATTATTTGTAATTATCTACTATATATCCCCGCTATGAAAAGTCTATGCAAGACCCTGCAGTAAAAGTTCCTTGTGATATGAAAGTCGTGCTATCCTTATATGAGATATTCATTTCAATTTTCCACTTAAGGGCATAACGTTTTTTTCTCGTCTTTCATTTTATAAACCTGTGGAAAATGGAATGGACGTATTTTAATTGGAGAAAGAATAAATTTGGAAAATAAATAGAACCACTTTTTAATTAAAAATTTAAATAGAATAGAAAGTTATAAACAATCTTTCTATAAGTATAATAATTGAAACTAACGTTTATTTTCTCTGCGATATTATAACTTTACTTCACCTTTGTTTGACGATTCTTTTTATTATGGAGCAACATATTGAGTATTAAAATTGTATAGTATGTGTGTCTACATTGTATTATTCATATGGTGATACATTCAAGATGTTGTGATCAATACAAAATGTGCCAAATGTAAATTTTAAAATATTTTAGTACGTAATTCGTGCATAAGAGAGAATTTGGGATATTCAAAAGTAAAATTGCCTCGTTTACTCACAACACATTTACAACACAAAAAATACAGCTTATTTAACTGTGGTTACGAGGTAGACGAATTTGTCAGCATTTTAGTTAAACAATGCCTGGAAAAATGTTTTAATAAATATGCAGAATGTTACCTTCATTTGTAAAGTCTATACTCCTGCCACTGTGTATTAATTCAAAAACATTATTCATGTAATATTAGCATAAAGCTCTGTGCGAGTGATCCGCTTATTCCCATTTCAATGGCCTACGATGGTACAATTTCATGAAATGTAAAATACCGTTTTCAATCTAGGTATAAATTAAACAACTCCTTTTGGAATCAGTTTCTTTTAAAAACAAAGCGTACATTATGTTTCAAACTGTTGTCGTTCCAGACATTTGGGGATAGGCGGACACAGAATAAGTAACTTGGTTACTTATTTTTTTAATAATGTCAAAATATTACTACTTCTTAGGTGGAACGACTGAAAATTTTTGAACCTTTATTATCTAGCAATGACTATTTCGTCTGAAATCTGGCTGTTATTTTGTGATTGATTTTAAATAAAAGAAATTTATATATATGTACCTCTTCATGGACAAGCGAACATTGACCTGCAAACAATCATCAACATGGCTTTAAATGTCAACATTAATTATAACTTATTTTCTAATAGTAAAAGAGATTATATACCCATTATTTGGATAAACGAAAACTAATCAGGTTATAGGAATACGGTAATACGAATGGAAAAATTGATAAATTTTATAATTATCTATAGTTTCGAACTCTTGTTCCGAATTCAACATTTTGTCTTTTCCCTACCAATGTTTGCTCTCAATGTGCGCCTGTTTCAATAGTTGTTAGGCGTATTGTAAATCTCTGGGGCCCCTTATTCCACTGCGCACGCTGTCGCCCTTTACGATCTTCCCTTGCTAGTGTAACAACGCGCCTTCAACAATTTTCCGAAGTGTTTTATATTTCATACACGATTTAAGATTAAATAAACACGATTGATGTATACTAAACATTGTGTTTTATTGGAAATGTGACGTTTTCTCATACCTACATATCGGCGTTTTGTATTTTGACGATGAATATTTCAATGGTTTTTTAAATGAAAATTAGCTATAACTTGACCCTTATTTTTCTCTCGGTAATTCTACTTGCATCTCAATTTTTACATCTTCAACGAAAACAGTGTATGATTTAGCCAGCACGTCAACGGGATTCGACACCGATAGTTTGCTTTAATATAATATTAGATAAAATGAAACGTAAAATTTTTTTAACGATAATTTTGGAATAAACTGTATTATCTTCTTTCAAGTGGCTACCAACCTACATAATTCATTTGAGTTCATTGTTAGTTTGCACCACCCGTTGTGGGTTGTTTCTTTTGTTTTGTTACTCGCTGTCATTTTCATTATCCGTCGTTAGTTGGTCTTCTACGGCCTCTTTTTTCATCTTCTTTAATTTTCTTTATTCATAACACATTGTCATGTGACCATATGACAATGAGTCCGGAATAGCGTAGATGATTTTCACTAACTTCTCGATGTTTCTCTGAAGCTTTAATTGGACCAGGGATTTATTTGATAAAGTTGAAAATATCTCTAAAATACAGAAAAAGCAATTTTTTTTATTAAATAAAACATTGCCCTTACTTTAGGATAACAATATCCTGTGTTGTAAGGACGTTTTACATACATAAATTTCACGTGGACAAACACCCAGATGCGAAACAACTATCTGTGGGTCGCACAAATAGTTGTCCTCTTTTGTGATACGTACGGCAAAAGAATGTAACAGTTCGCCAGCTTTCCCGTGCAAGGCATTAATAGTCTGCTGAGCAAGCGTGGTTACCATTAATGATTACATCTTAGCATCTTATATGAGCTAGCAGTGTAAAAATCATCGGTTTTGGGGTAAAAATAAGAATACTATAAATTCCTTCTGTATAGATCGCACCAACAAGAAAAAAAATCAAATAATCAACGAATTGATGATAATCCGGTTAAACACTAGATTTAACATTGCGATAAAGTTATTAATTTTTTTTCCTAATACTTAACATTTTAGTGTATATGAATATTCTGTGTAATATTTCAATTTATATTAAAGAAGAGACTGATTATATAATATAGACAGAAATACGAATATTCGTATTTCAAAATATTTCTCACAGTCAACTCATCTTGCCCAGACAAGTGCCACTTACGTGAGCTGACATCAGGGTTAACATAACAATAATACATACCTACTTCATTAATCAACGATCAAGTTGCGTCACTTACTTAATATTGTTCTTTAATCATAATGAATAACTATTAAAACCGATTTCTTTACGATATTCATATCCATAAACATTAAAAACGTTCAACAGAAATTATTGGGGAAGGGAGGATTATCGTTCAGATAATTTCAGGTCTATTAACTTAAACTCAACTCTAACTCAATCTCAGTTTATGTTAGGCTTAACGCGGCTGATGACAAGTGAGCTGGTTCTTTTCTCGCTCAAAGGTTAAGCATAACTATTCAGCGAGGAAATGCAGCTAGCGTTCTTGGACCATGCCGCGTGGATTAGGTTTATTAGATAATATGTAATTTTAGATAGATTAAATCTTGTAAATATTATATTAGTTTGTAAACTTTTTTTTTATTTGACTATTAACATCGCATTTATCAATAATACTATAAATGTAAATGAAAGAGCTCGGTGAGAAGAGTAAATACTTTGGTCAATTAAGCAAGCCTGGAGCTATGCATACAAACCGGTGACCGGCGCAATGGGTTCGGGGGTAATTGGATGCAAACAGTTAAATGTCGAAGGCAAAACCCGTGTTAAAGCAAACGCAATGACAAATTATAACGCAATTTCTGATCAGGTTGGAATAAACGAATTTCATCCAGAAGACATGATTATTATGGAGGCTTTACATTAACATTTTCTAGGATTTCATTTTTCTTTACTTCTAATCTCTTGTCCCTATCAATTTGAACAAAACGGTAGTGGCCATCGATAATATTTCGGTTTTAAAGAAGTTCGGGAAACGAGAGACAGAGTGAAAATAAAAAATTAAAACTTTTTACTTTTTATTATGTTGAACTGATATACAAACGCGTTTTTCAGGTCTTTAAACTAGCTTTATACCTTCGTTTGTTTTTTCTTGTCTAGATAATATACCAAAAACCTTTTCCCGTCCAAAAACGCGCTTTTGAAGTGCTGTGACCGTTCTCGTTACCCATCCTACGCTGATATTAATCATTAAGATTTTTAAAAATAGCCCTATCGGATACTCCCAATTTCACCACTACCAACAATTAATACTACAAAAATGCAACGGCCATTGAGGCCAGCTTTCGATCTTTCCCAACGGTAAGGGACACACCAAGCTCGTAGAATCTGGCTATCCCGCGAGTTCTGCGTTCGATGAAGCTTTAATAGTTCACTGACCGTGCATGAGAACACAAGTCATATAATGAACTTTTATTTGTACATATAATGAACTTGTATTTCACTTTTATTGTCCACCACAAATAAGAGTACCTATACATAAAAGTAACAATAGAATAACAAATTTATGCAATATACAATTTGGCGGCCTTATCGCTTCATAGCGATCTCTTCCAGGCAACCAATGGCGTAAAGGAAACGTATACTAAGTAGGTGGTGCAATAGTCATATAATTACAAAAATCTGAGTATTCCTTTATCATACGTTATTTACTTATTACAATTAGTTGTCAAAAGATTAAAAATTTTATTTTTTTTCCAAATTAGTTTTTTGCGTGTTCATATT